GGACTTGGGGAACCCGGGGGCAGAGCAGCTGGGGTGCTCTGTCCCAGGGCTTCCCCAAGTCCACCGCTGCTGCTGAAACTGCTGAAACTGACCAGCAGAGGACTTGGGGAAGCCGGGGGCAGAGCAGCTCCAATTGTCTGGCTGGCCGGAGCACTTCCGTGTTCCAGATGGTGCTGGACTATCAGGAGTGCCGGACCACTGGATGCTGGACAATTGGTGTTTTACTGTATCTTGAGCAGTTTAGTTTCATCTGCAAATTTTGCCACCTCATTTTTTATCCCTTTCTCCATCTCATTTATAAATAGGTTGAATAGGATTGGTCCCAGTATGGACCCTTAGGGGACACCACTAGTTACCTCTCTACATTCTGAAAAGTGACCATTTATTCCTACCATTTGTTTCCTGTCCTTTAACCAGTTATCAATCCATGAGAGGACCTTCCTTATTATTCCATGACAACTTACTTTACTGAAGAGCCTTTGGTGAGGGCCCTTGTCAAAAGCTTTCTGGAACTCTGTACAGTATACTATATTCACTGAATCACCCCTGTCCTTGGACCAGATGGCATTCACCCAAGAGTCCAGAAAGAACTCAAATGTGAAATTGTAGAACAATTAACTATACTTGGTAACATATCCTTTAAATCCTCTTCTGTACTTAATGACTGGAAGATAGCTAATGTGATGCCAATATTTTAAAAGGGGTGATCCTGGCAATTACAGACTGGTAAGACTAATGTCAGTATTAGGCAAATTAGTTGAAACTGTAGTAAAGAATCAGAGGGGTAGCCGTGTTAGTCTGAATCTGCAGAAGTGGCAAGGAGTCCTGTGGCACCTTATAGACTAACTGAAGTGTAGGAGCATAAGCTTTCGTGGGCAAAGACCCACTTTGTCAGATGCATGTGACGAAATGGGTCTTTGCCCACGAAAGCTTATGCTCCTACACTTCAGTTAGTCTATAAGGTGCCACAGGACTCCTTGCCACTTCTGCAGATTCAGACTAACACGGCTACCCCTCTGATTCTTTACTACAGTTTCAACTAATTTGCCTAATACTGACATTAGTCTTACCAGTCTGTAATTGCCAGGATCACCCCTTTTAAAATATTGGCATCACATTAGCTATCTTCCAGTCATTAAGTACAGAAGAGGATTTAAAGGATATGTTACCAAGTATAGTTAATTGTTCTACAATTTCACATTTGAGTTCTTTCTGGACTCTTGGGTGAATGCCATCTGGTCCAGGTGACTTGTTACTGTTTAGTTTATCAATTTGTTCCAAATCCTCTTCTAATGACACTTCAATCTGGGACAGTTCCTCACCTAAGAAGAATGGCTCAGGTTTGGGAATCTCACTAACATCCTCAGCCATGAAGACCCATGCAAAAATTTACCATATATACTTGATCATAAGCCAAATGTTTGTGGTAAAAATATCATACTGTGAAGAACAGGGGTCAGCTTATGATTGGGTCATTATGCTTGAACATTTTTTTTCTCATTGGAGAGAGGGGTCAGCAAACTTTAGTTCCCAGCCCAGCAGGGCAAACCGCTGATGTGCCAAGATGCTTATGTATCTGGAGCATCTTCAGGCATGGAGCAGGCAGACTTTCTGCTCCATGCCTGCAGCCAGCCTGTCCCTCAGCCCATGCTCACACAGACGAGCTAGACTGTAAGTTTGTACACCACCAATATAGAGTTGGCTTATAAAAGGGTCATTGTCATTTTAACATTTTTTGTGTGTAAATTTGAGGGGTCATCTTATGAATGAATGGGCTTATGTTCGAGTATACATGGTATTTAGTGTATTACCTTATTGTCTTTGACTGCTCCTTTATCATCTCAATCGTTGGGTGGCCATTGGTGTTTAGCAGGCTTTCTGCTTCATGTACAGGCAGTCCCCAGGTTACATGGATCCAACTTACATCGGATCCCTACTTACAAATGGCGTGAGGCAACCCCACACTAGCTGCTTCCCCCGAGCAGACCAGGGAGACATGAAGCTAGCGCCCACCCCCAGCAGACTAGGGAGACGCGGAGCGGCTTTTCTCAGCAGACACCTCAGCTTGAGAATAAAGGACTGAGGGAAGTGAGGTGTGGGAGAATAAAACTGAGCTCTGGAGAAATGTTTGGCTAGAGTTTCCCCTACTATATGTACCTGTTCCAACTTACATACAAATTCAACTTAAGAACAAACCTACAGTCCCTATCTTGTACGTAACCCGGGGACTGCCTGTACTTAAAAAACATTTTGCTGTTAACTTTTTCAGTTTTTGGCTAGCTGTTCTTCAAACTGCTTTTTGGCTTTCCTTATTATATTTTTACACTTAATTTGACAGCGTTTTATGTTCCTTTCTATTTTCTTCGCTGGGATTTAACTTCCACTTTGTAAACAATGCCTTTTTCTCTCTCACTGCTTCCTTTACTTGGTTGTTAAACCATGGTGGCACTTTTTTTGTTCTCCCTACTGTGTTTTTTTTTAATTTGAGGTATACATTTAAGTTGGACCTCTATTATGGTGTCTTTGAAAAGTTTCCATGCAGTTTTCAAGGATTTTACTTTTGACACTGTCTCTTTTAATTTCTGTTTAACTAACCTCCTTATTTTTGTGTAGTTCCTCTCTCTGAAATTAAATGCCACAGTGCTGGGCTGCTGTGGTGTTTTTCCTACCACAGGGATCTCTCTGTTGGCCAGATCCTAGATCAAAGTATATTAGGGCAACAACTTAATTTAGCTCTGACACCAGCAGGAAGGGAGACTGTATATTATATCTGCCGTTATTACTTGGGAGATGGCTGTTACGCAATGATCCAGCTGCAGTCTCTGTGAAACACTTGCATTCAGATCCAGCAGAGTGAGTTACAGTGACTAATCTGGGTAATGAAGAATGTACAAATCAGAGGCCATGCTATTTCCTGGTCAGTTTGAGGGATGGGATCTCATATTTATGACAACCCGTGTGCTCAGAAGCAATGGAATTCAACGTGTCCCCAATACTAAATGCTGTATGGATAGACAATGTGCAAGAGGGCTTCCCTTCCCCCTCTCCCTCCCGATCTTTGCTCACACTAAGTGTTTGCTGTTTGCAGATAACACAAACCATGAACTTCCTGCAGTAGCAGCAGAGAGACGAGTTGTTAACCTGATGTATACATATATGAGATGATATATTGTGTCATTTCTCCTGTAACCTCACCCCACAAAGAGCACAAGCAGCCATCAGAAAAGAGATCTCACAGGCTATTGACTTTTCATGGAACCTCAATTAATAGAATCATAGAACCATAGAACTGGAAGAGACCTCAGAAGGTCATCAAGTCCAGCTCCCTGCTCTAGGCAGGACCAATTCCAACTAAATCAACCCGGCCAGGGCTTTGTCAAGTCGAGGCTTAAACACCACTAGGGATGGAGACTCCACTACTTCCCTAGGTAACCCATTCCAGTGCTTCACCACCCTCCTAATGAAATAGTTTTTCCTAATATCCACCCTGGACTTCTCCCACCACAACTTGAGACCATTCCTCCTTGTTCTCCCATCCATTACTACTGAGACCAGCCTCTCTCCATCCTCTTTGGAGCCTCCCTTCAGGAAGTTGAAGGCTGCTATCAAATCCCCCCCTCACTCACAGAACCCTGTGCCATCATCATATTTGGGCTCCCTTCAACTTTTCCAGTAATGGGTTACATTCTGCAAAACAGATTAAATGTCTAATGACACTGGTTTTGAAGAATGCTGCACATGAACATTCCTGACTGCATGACATTGAAGAGATAGCCTCAAAAGAGAGATATCTGACCTGCCCCATTTATTTCAATAAGTTGTTCTGTCTGGTATTCAGCACTTCTAAGATAACCATCATAACTAGATGTATGACTATAAAAGAAATATGGTTCAAATAAAAAAGCTATATCCACAGTGTTGGCTCTAAATCTCAGTGATGATGCTATAGAATATCACTTATCTCTTGCCAAGCAATTTATCACAGCACTGACTCTGAACTCGCTGCTCCTGTATTCAACTTTTAGAAAGTGAATGAGAAGCACCAAATATGGGTATATGGGAAGACAACATACAGTTTCTGTTTCAACTGGAATCCATTTGAGCACTTAAACGGATTCCAATAAGAGGCCTTTAGTCTTCATTCCCCCTTCTTTAAACATCAGCATGGCCACAGACAGGAAAGGTGTACAGTTGTTAGTTCCAGGACCTCAAGCTGCTCTCTCGCTCAGCGATGCAGGTCTAACAAGACCATATTGTAGCTTGATGTGGAACCCTACAAATATTTTGAATTGTTCTCTCTTACCTGATAACAATACACTGGTTCTGAGGTCCTGTTGCCAGACGTCCCAGCATGGCCTGGTATGCTCTGTCAGCAATGGCAAAGATATGGGGGGGCAGGGTGCCCTTGTCATAGTTCTGATATTTCTCGGATACCTAGGAGCAGGGGGGAAATTAAATTAAAGTGAAATAATAGCAATCATAGAATCTCATCTTGGATGGCTAGCCACCAGACAAGACAGAGAAAAGACATCAGAGTTGTTTGGATTTTTTAACATGTATTTTAGATTACATTTCCCAGGATTTGATAGAGTAAATCAAGAAATACACCATATGTCAAATAAAGATGTCTAGAAACGTAACATGCTCTGGAATGCCTGGCCACCGCTTTGCTTTAGAACATTCTGACATTTTTACAATGGTCATCTCTGTTCTCCAGCATTTGTGGGGAGGAGTGCAATGGTAGGATGTGAACAATGGGTAAGATGTGAAGGTTTCTGTGAGAACTATTTTTTACTACTGGGTGGTCAATTCAAGGAGTGTACTGTAGATTTCAGACCATTTAAAATACTGTTTCAAATCAGAAGAAGCTCTTAGAGCCATGGATGACAGAGAAATCAAAACACATCTGACAAAACCCATATGATACAACATTTTGAAAAATGTATTGGCTGAAAAGCACATGGAAAAGCCTCCTACAAAACCCAACTAGCCACATTCCTTATGGGTAACACTATAACTTCACAGGGAAGTCTTGTGATTGGACTCTCCAAGAGCAAAGGGTGCTGTTCTTATTTGGCCCATCCCCCCAGGCCCACCAACATGAGGTGCCACACACCCCCTACTAACACCATATCCTGGAATGAGGTGACACTTACTGGTTTCTCATACAGTGGCAGGCTCTGGAACGGGTTCATCGCAATCAAAATGTCCCCAATATATGTCTGATTTAAGAGAAAAATGCCCACCAACCAAGTAAGCAAGCATTGTACAGTGCCCCAAGGCCCCTTTGCCCTACATTTTTGGGGTGTAGGGAGGAAACCATGTCCTAGCGGCTCTCCTCCACCCCCCTCCCTCCCGTGTCCAGCAGACTCTCCAGCGCCGTTGTGTCCCGCGGGGTCTCACCCCTCCCACGCAGTACTTAATCTGTAATGAGAGAGTATCCCCCGCGGTTCAAGCAACGTTTTTTCTTGTATAACTAGAAATCGGCTGCTGGCTCGCCCCTGGTGTCTTCGGCACGCACACAGTGTCCGGTGGGTCCCTCGTTCCCTCTCCGCACCCTCGGTGCCCTTTGGTACCCCCACATATCCCGGTGTCCCGCAGCCCTGCCTGCAGCAGCTTCGCCTCGTCCAGCTCCTCCAGGGCCGCCAAGTCCTCGCCGTCGTCGAAGGCCAATGGCCCCGGCTCTCCAGGAGGGGCCATCCCAGCAGAGATTGGATCCGAGAACGTCCCGGCACTAAGAACCGGCGACCGCAGGCAAGCTTCCGCCTGGGAGCTAAGACTCGCCCCCATCCCAGCGTGTCCGTCTGCTCCTCCCTTCCTAGCCCCCAGCTCAGCCCCGCCCTGGCCAAGTCCTCGCCGTCGTCGAAGGCCAATGGCCCCGGCTCTCCAGGAGGGGCCATCCCAGCAGAGATTGGATCCGAGAACGTCCCGGCACTAAGAACCGGCGACCGCAGGCAAGCTTCCGCCTGGGAGCTAAGACTCGCCCCCATCCCAGCGTGTCCGTCTGCTCCTCCCTTCCTAGCCCCCAGCTCAGCCCCGCCCTGGCTCGGGCAGTCCCACCTCAGCCCCCTCCCCCTGCGCGCTCCCTTCTTTCTTTCCGACAGCCAAGCTGGGCTGGACAGCCTGGGTTTCTTACTGAGGAGTCCCTACAAGCCTGCAGACTCCATCTTCCTGGCCGAGGAGTGACTCTCAGCCACCTGGCCACAGGGAGATGAAGTCTGGGGTCTAGCTCTAACCACGACCTTCACAGAATGGGCCTGAACCCCGAGAGCACCCCCTCTACCGCGACTCTGCATGAACAGGTTGCCCTAGTAGGAAGGATCCGCCATATCCAGAGCAATTCACTTGGTTCATAAAGATACAGAGAAATTAAACAACTCATAGCATCAGCAGAGTTGGAAGTAAAACGAGAAAAAATCCCTTCCATTCTAGGTAACCATCTGCCGTGGAATTATACTTTATATTTCTTCAACATGAGCCATTCTCACGGAGAAAGCATGGATTTTGTGACTACACTAACACAAGGAAGAAGTGCAAGAAGAATGTGTCTACAGAGGTATAACATTACAGCAAGGAGGAAAACTAGCGTGTGAGAAGGCAAGTAATTGTAGCTGTACGTAATGTCTTTCACTAACACTAGAGCAGTGCACCTTAAAGCTAAGAGCTTATCTCCAGGTTTTGTACTTCTGAGTCTGCAACTATAATGGTTTGAAATTGATAATCAGCAGTCTAACACTTTAGTATGGGACATAATTGTAGCGGCAAAATGTACAGAACAGCCCTAAACGCCACATCAAGAAAATTAAACAAATCATTCCTCCTCCCGTGAACTGTGTCATATCCAAAACGTAATCACATGAAGCTCCTATACATTAAAAAACTTTAAACAATAAATAGTCGAATAGCACTTTAAAGACTAACAAAACATGTAGATGATATCATGAGCTTTCCTGGGCACAACCTACTTCTTCAGATGACCTGAGTGTTGGAAGTCCAGATCCAAGAATAAATAAGGAAAGGAGGAGCGGGGAGACAGAAAAAAATTGAAGGAGAAGAATTTTTTCCCTCTCTCCCTTCTCTCCCCCCCCCCCCCCCTTATTTATTCTTGGATCTGGACTTCCAACATTCAGGTTATCTGAAGAAGTGGGTTGTGCTCAGGAAAGCTCAAGACACTATATACATGTTTTGTTATTTTTTAAAGCCTACTAGACTATTTGTTGTTTTTAAGTTTTTCCTGTTACAGACTAATTCTGCTACCCCTCTGAAGCATTAAAAAAAAAACCACCTTGAAAACGGCTTAGCTGCTGTTGTGCTGATGCAGCATCCTATCACCACGTCCTATCAGTTTGTCTGCATTGGTGGCTGCTTGTAGCCTCTTTGGGACAGGGACTGCATTTGTGTTCTCTGTACAGTGCCTTGCACAAAAGGACTCTGGCCATAACTGGGGCTCTCCTAGGTGCTCAATACAAACAACACTTCTCTTGTCCCGCCCTTGGGAGCATTTATGCCAGTATCGAAATGCTTAGCCCTGTCTAGCTTACCCTAAAAACTGATCGTGTCAACTGTACTTTCCAGTTGCCATCCTGCCCTTCCTTTTCGCTCACACATAGAAATCCCTTTTAAATCTTTCCGCTTATTCTTGAAGATTTCTCCCCAGTCTGTATTTCTTCCTCTCTGCTTAAGTCTGCAGCGACTCTCGCCACCCGACCACCCTGCTCGCCGGCAGCGCCTGCCTGCTCCATTC